CAGCTTCTTCCCTCAATCAGAAGATAACGTTCGCTGAAAAACTAACAGTTTCTTTCCACATGCTGTTATCACTTTAAACAGAGCACTTTTAATGATCTTGCCTTTGTATTGAAACTGTTTGATCGATTTCACAGTGACAATTGTTTCCCGTTTTGTTTTTGTTTTATTTCTGTACTTTTAACGTTGTTTTATTTAAGTACTTGTCTTGTGCACACTTTTATTACTGACTTTTGCGGATGTATTCCAATATGGTTTTACTGCAAATGGCAAATAAAATGAATCTGAATCTAATTAATTCAATCATTCATTCCTGATGCAATCACAGAACAACACTAAACTCAACCTTGCCTGAATGAGAATTTGGTAAATTAAAATCCCTTTTCTTTGCGTTTCCCAATTTCCTTTAGTTTCCTTCCTCCCTGGTTAATTCAATCTCCTTCAACCTCATCAATTACAGGTGACAGCAACTTTGTAAAGCACAATTACTAACAGGTCTTTTATTAACTCCGCTTATGTCTCCGTATGACAAATGACGTTGAACTAAGAACCTTTGTCAACCCCTTTGTCACACCTGAACCGCTTTCAACAACACGGTGGAGCCCCCTGTGCTCTTCCAATCATCCTGCACCGTCTCCGCCTGCTTTATGAATATGGCCCTGCGTCCCTTGTGTTCAATTACTTGAGTCAATAGCCCAGTATTAAACCTGGACATATGAGTTGCGTCATAAAAGTGTAGATACAAAAGCGCTGCATGTTATGGGGCCGCCTTAAAGGGGATGTGGAGATTACAGCTGCAATTTACGGCCGAGGAAGTAAACAAGAGCGATATAGACCAGCGGCGTTACGGCTGCAGGGTTGAGATCATATGGACAGTGAGGTACGGCCCGATAAGGAAGGGTGTAAAACATCTAAATATGAAAAGTGCTTTGCGTGTATTGGACAGCTGCTGGCACAAGCGCAGGTAGCAGCTGGGGCCGCCTCACCTGTCGTATTAATAAAACCCAGACAATCCCCTCCTTCAGCGCTGGCACACAACAGGATGGCCGCACGACAACAAAAGAGCAATTAGTGTGGTCGGGTTTTTTGTTTGACGCACACAATGTTATGATGCCCTAATGCTGTTTATGCAAAAACAAAAAAATTTCTAACAGGTTTCAAACTGTATATAATAAAACATCATGGATAACTTTTGCTGTGATTTGTCTGTTTTTGTGATTCTGATTTTGCTATATTTTTTAAAATATATAGATATATAAAAAACATAAATGTAAAAAAAAAAAACAATAATTCTTCCATAAAATTAAGTAATAACAGTGCATAGGAACCCATCATAAAAATATTAAAAGCCAGATAAAAAAAAAAACTTTTACTAAACCTCATACTTAACAATACCAACCAGTATTCTGTACATAAACATTTTCATTTACTGACTATATTCTCCCAATGCAGAAAACCGTCATCTGTCTGTAAATCCTATAATTAATTTAGAATGCATGTGTGTATACTTGGCACCGGGTCCTTCAAATAATACTTCAAACACGTTTCTAAACACAAAGAGAGAGTGGCTGACGTTTATGGCTGGTCCGTACAGTACATGAAGCATTAATTGCGCAGGTAGTTAGACAAGAGGATTGGCTGAGGATGATAGAGCGATGACAATAATGATAAGATAAGAAAGCTCTTTTTCGTTGCGGTTTGTGTTGTTTTGTGTGTAGACAAGTGTGCGTGTTGCTGCTTGTTGGTGTGTGTTCGCCTGGCATCAGAAAGGTCCTGAGTGAAGTGAATAGAGAGAAGAGACAGAGGGGGTGGAACAATGAGCTAGAGAGTGGAAAATGACAAGGACGGGCCCTGAAAGATCCCATCTCACACAGAGGCCGACCCAAGCAGAGCTCCATTAGCCCCTGTGCACTGCTCCCCCTGCTCCCCCCTACTCCCCTCTACTCCCCTCTACTCTCCCCTGCCCTGACTGCAGGTACAGCCTCATTCAGGGCTCTGACAGCTGCTCCGTGGGTGGGATCAGTCTGTTGACTTTTACCTGTAGACACAGAGGACTCATCCTAAAGCTAATGAAACCGCTAATGTGTCATAACTGACAGCGAAATGAAAACACACTCCTGAACCCACAACACGCGCCACTAGTGATTAATGCAGGTCAAGGAAAACAAAAGATTCATTTATCTTTTCAATTCAGAAGTCATGATAAACAAAGAAATTGGAGCGAAATAATACGGCTACCTAATAATCGTTCTATTCATTGCATTGAAAACTTCTGATTTGCGTGTTGTAATTGCTGGTAGGGCTGTAATCAAGGAATTTTTTTGATTGATTATTTGGCCGATCATCCTTTCAATAAATCAAATAGTTGTTTAGTTCCAGAAAGGTTTGTGAGTATGTGATTCACTTGACCAAAATAAAGCTGCAGTAATGGATCTTCATACAGATGACTTGATACACAGTGGGTTGTTTAATTAAAAATACTTTGTAAACACCTTTCATTTCATTCTGCAGTCCTTCTAGAAGAGTGTTTCCCAACTTCTCTGAGCCGTGGCACGCCTTATTCAGTGGAAACAATCACATGACACACCGCCGGCTGAAACTGAAACAAAAATTAACTCTGTATTCTCATCAAAGTGTATTATAGAAAATCAGACGAGCACAAACGTCTTTTTAATCTTCTCGCATTATTTACTTTTACACATTTTTTTGACCAATTGGGTGAGATTGAATCATTTTCAAAAGGTTCACCAAACAACATCTCAATGCACACCAACATGTCGCGGCACACTGGTTCAAAAACACTGTTCTCGAAGGACCTGAATAATAGAGTAGTTGTAAATAATCGATTAACTTACTGATTGTAAATATAAGATAAGATAGACATCATTGATCTCACACTGGAGATTTTTTTTTTTATATGAATGAATGAATGAATGCCTTTGTATAAATACATTAAATATACATTAGACCGTTCACAAGAGGGAGGATACAAAAGGTTTTAAACTTCCTCCTTCTCCTTTTGAGCATCCTGCCTCTCAGGGGAGTCCTTGTCAATATTTGTAGTTCTGTTTTCTTGCCATTGCCATTGTGACTTGAACGTTTAGCACATGTTTGGTATCTATATGAATATCTCCCAAGTGCAATTAGTTTTATACTTTCTAATGAATAGTTTTTTTTTTACATAAAAATGGGCATACATTTTTACTGCTATTTTTTTTACCCTTATATTCCTACTATTCCTTGTATTCAGCAACAATGTAATATTCAACATCTATCTATCTATATTTCAATCCTCCTTATATCATTTTAAGGCTCATTGCCATACAACATAATACCTAATACATTCAAAAGTGATACTAAAACTGCAACTTCTACAACATTTTACATTGAATATGTCATTGTATTTGAATCATCATAATTGTCATAATAATAATTAAATCTACGTTTCGATCTTGCCAGATAGACTGAGACAAATCAGGCCAATTACCTCCATGGGTGAATTAACAATGAGGAAATGGTAAGAAAGCTCCATAAACAATCTTTTGAGAAAGGCTGACAGGGCCCAGTGAGTTAGCTGCAATTTATGGACGAAGGCACAAAAAGAAAGTTCCCGTCTTCATTGGAGGCCAGTGAATCCAAAATGAACTCTTTTTATGAGGCTGACTCTGCCACCGGGATGGCGCGCACACAAAGCGGCCAACAAAAGGCAGGCAGTAAAGGGGGAGTAGTGACAAGATAGGAGCACAAAGGCAGAACCAACTTTCACGTGGCTCAATGCACGCAGGAGAAACTGAGCCAGCTGTTTTTAATGGCAATGCATTGAGCGAAGGCTATATTTAAATTGCATGTGTTTTTGTCAGCCATTCATAGTGACACGCATTGTGAGCGGCACCAGGGACACTAAAGAGTCTACATGTGAGGGATTCTACAGCCGGGAGAGACAAAGTACACCGGTATAAGTAAAATATACTACAATTATATTTGATAACAGACCCAGGGCACCTTAGGCACTGGTCATGGGGAATTTATAGCGATCAATGCATTTGTGGGTATCCATGAAAACTTTCAACATCTTACTATTACTATTTATCTCCCAAAAATATATAGTAGCTTTAATTGCTTCGTGCAGTGTGGGTGAGTGTACGCTGCAAATTTTTTTTTAAATATTAATTAATATTAGTATGAATCAAGTGTTTTTTCTATCTTAATTTGAGCACATTCTGGGCTTTCTTAAAACAAGCTTTGCCATCGGGACAAAGCCATTTAGCCTTATTTCAAGAACTGTTTGCTTTACTTTCTCATTCCAAGAGAGACATTCCTTGTAACTTTTAAAAACGAGATGATTTTGCTTCACATTGGCAAATCTTGCAATCACAATATGTTTAAATTAAGAAACATTTTGGACTTATTTTTTGTCACTTTTCGCAGTGTAACAATTTACGAGTACAAATTCTGGTTCAAATTAAACAAAAAAATGTCTATGCTAAGTGCTCTTTCATCAAATAACCCCTTTTCAAACTGTGTATTTGTTTGTACATAATTGTGGTCTGGTATTGTAGTTATTATTATTGTTACATTATGTTTAAAGATAAAACTAGAGATCCTTAAAACGTCCCATACTGGGGAAACTTTCTAAAAGATTCTTCTACTTTCATATTCTAACCAACTTTTTCAAAACCCTCACACTAGAAAAGAATCTGGAACCTCAAAGACCACTAGAGTGCGCCGGTTTGGCCACTCAATGAAGTGTATACACCAACATTGACAGAGCAAAAGGGAAAAAGGTACTTACAAACTTTATAAATGCTTCCTCAAATACACACACAAAGAATGTACAAACAAGTAGGAAAACAAAAGGGCTCTTGTAACAGGGCTCGGGATCTTGATGAAAAATTCAAACAATATTAAATGGGGAGTGTCAACAGCTGACACACTTATGCTGAGGGCCCTTCAAACAGACAGAGTAACTCGGCACACACATTACGCCGCTGCAGTTTAGCCTCTTAGTGTAATGATGATGGCGGCTTTAACCAGCACTGCCTTTTGAAATCGCGCTCTCCTGCAAACATTGTAGGGAGGGATGGAGTGAAAAAAGAAAAAAGCGTGCGTCTCTGTGTCCGGGCATGTCATTTCCTGAAAGCTTTACCTGCAGCTCCGTCACGGGTCAGCTGGATCTCGGGGCCTTCTCCTCCTGCTGCTCTGGCCACTCCAGGGGGCGGGAGGCTCCTGAAAAAGAACCAGATTAAGGCGTCAACGCGGCGGGATTGGAGGTGTTCTCCGGCAGGACGTCCAGATGTAATGCCTCCTGACAGGTGGGCTTTGTGGGGGCCGCAGCCTTCGCCGATCCGTCATCACGCACTGGTGGAAACAGAGACGACAAGGCTGCTGAAATACGAGCGAGAGAACGCGATGGGAATCAATGGAGTCGTACAATCTACAAGTGTGAATTCCACATGATGTCGACCTGTCATTTGTAATGGTCAAACTGGAAAAAAAGGCTAACGATATAGGAATAACTAACTTCTATATTAGGCCTGTCGACTCTAATTACTATATTGATTAAGTGTTCAATAGCTAATGGAAGAGTGTGTATGTGCATGTATGTATATGACATGGGTATAACTTTTTTTTACCTTTTTCCCTTAAGCTTATTGATGGTTAAGTGAGGGATTTAAGTGACTGTAGAACATTGGTTTTGGGGGAAGTTTTTTAGTTGAAAAAAGTTGCTCAAACAAATGCTCATTCAAAGCAGAAGGATTAATATATTTTCAGGCTCAATATTTATGGTCTGTAAATGTCCGATTGTCCTTTATGAGATATTTTCCTGAATATAATACCTTTACAATACAATAAGAGCTTTTTAACAAGAACATAAAGAACCTTGTGTTGCATTTATTTGTATGAAAAACCCTTTACAAGTCACTCATAACTAATTTGATTGATTGATAAGACACCTTTATGGTTCATAGAATCACTTTACCTGCACCTAATATCACTATTGTTTATTCTGGTCATATTCTCTGCTGCTAAAGTAGAATATAAACATCTGTAATCACCTCATGATGCTGTTAAGTACAGTGTATACTCCACAACTGACTTATCCTTGAACCAAGTGCAATTATTCTATGTTATTATATATTAAATAATCCACCCTGTTTGAACTTGAGTGCTCTTATTTTGCTGCAATGATGAGATCAAATTGTCCTAATCTAATCTTGTTATTGGTAAATTCTGCTGTTTATATGTTTCATCTTATGGTTTTTAACAGTGAAGACAAAGACAAAATAGTGTATTGTAATTGTACCAGTGGCTCAAATCTATCACAATACATCCGTGTTCACATATTGTTCATTAAAATGTGGTTGGCAGGCCTAGTTCCATATGCAATGAATAGCTAATAAATCATTATTATAACTTACATATAGAGTACATCAACACAAGGCATGATAAAGGGCGCTCATAAATATGCATCATGAAGAGGAAATGTATATATTACTTAGAGTTACCGGTTTATTACCTCTGGTCTGTCCATGTCTGTGCTGTTTTACTGCTGGTGCCACAGCAGACTTGTCCAGGCTACACACCCCATGCAGCTGGAACTGTTTTAAAGCCAACTGAAAACCGCAAAAGGAGTGGGTGGCTGGAAGCAGAACGAAATTATGAATTCAGCTGATACTTAATAGCGTACAATTACATTTGACTCAGTAGTGCATTTATCAGCAATAAAAAACTCAACTGGCAACAGTATTTTTTTCATAGGAGTCAAAGCAGGCATTTCCCCTTTAGGATGAAGGGCATAGGTCTATAACAAGTTAATCCAGATGGAGTATTATACAATGGAGTGTGTCTGCTGGAGGCCATTGGCTTCATGAACACCTGTAGTTTTCCTCGGCGTGTGGGAGGGGCTCTAGGTCTCGCTCTGGTCAGACACAGGAAGCGCCCCGGGACAGGTGCACTGTTATCAGCCCCGTAGAAAAACCACCTCCACGCAACAAGCAATAGCTGATTTTGGAGCCGATGCTATCCCGCACTCAAAGGCATTCTCCGACATTGACGATAAAAGCACATTTTCCAGACTTGCCAGCCCCATTTGAGCGGCTTTGTTTCACACCACGTTGACATTTACACGCCGCCTTTTGTTTTGAAGCGAGGCCAACCGCTGTGCAAGCCGCAGAAGACGCACCTGCTTCGTCTCACCTGCCCTTCTGCCAGAGATTAGGGACCAACAAGGAGTAGAAAAGCGTTTATGACAAATTACACCATCCCCCCAGCTCGGTTTTGCTCTTGCAACAGACATAAAAAAGGGGATATAAAGAAGGAGAGAGGTTTTCTTTCCTGCGTCTCCCCTCGGCTAATGCTGGGGTAAACCCGCTATAATCCTGCGCCGAGTGGTGACTCACGGCGGGTGTGGCCAATGTGTTCCCAAAGATATATTTTTTCACATTCCCTATATCAATACATATGTTTATTTTGGCTTTGTGGAAGGTGATGGGGCATATTTAAGAACTCTGCTAACACTCAAGTAGAACAAATAATCATTCATAAAAGAAGTATTGGTTATGGCTCTCAGTTTATTTATCATCGCAAAAGATTTATTTTGACTCAGCATAATGAGTCAACTTTTTTCACTAAAGCTCCAGACTGAAACATTTTAGCGTTGTAAGCAAAATATTACGAGCCACAACTAAAAAATTCATACAAAATACTGGCACAGAAAATAGGGTTAGGCAAGAAGAAAACTCATGTTAATCATTAGCAGAAGATTGTAACCCACAATCACCAAAGTATGTATTGTTTCAAGGTTTTTCACTATAGAAGAGAATCCTAACACTGTTTCTTCTTTGCAAAAAATCTGAATTATGCCAATACATTTTTTCAACAAAGAAAAACATGTGAGGATCTTTTGCGTTCCTTGTAGGGGCTTTGTGTTTGAGAGATGCACAGAATCCTAGCAGTTCTCCACATCATTGTTATTGCGTGTGTGTTTGGCCTAGAGACAGTCGATAGGACCCAGCCCTGAGCTGCTGGGGGGCTGTGCTCACCACTTCCCACTGTCTTAGTTGTAATGCATCCCTCCACTAACAGGGATCAAGGTATTAGGGATTGAGGTTATTTGTATTGATTTTATGTGCTGCCATGCCGGCTTCCAGGACGGCCTCATATTTGTGGAAATTGCAAATTCCACCTCAGAAATGTCACCAGCATTTAATCTCTTTCTGAGTGGTCAATAAGGGACCCTCGCCCAGGTCCGTTTATTAAACAGAGACCAAGCTTTCCTCTGGTTACCATGACGCTGCACAGAGCGAAATCCAATCGGTCTGGACTTGGCAACATGGGAGAAAGAACTTGAACATTAATAACTTTTGATAAGATCTGTGTCAATGATGGTGAGATTGATGTGGATAAAGGCAGTTGACTCAGGATTAGAGCTCCCCTGCACGAGCAGTGTGAACACACCAGTGATACTCTGAGACAACATTACTGCTGGTCACTAAACCCCTTTTACCCTGACTTGAGATATAGCATTTAGGCCAAGTCGTTCTTGATCTGAAATGTACTTCAACAACCTGTAGGAAACTGAGCTCAAAAACCACAATCTCAGAGTCAGAGAGGTCTGTAGGTCATTTGTGTGCAAATCACTTGCTAAAAGTATTGGAAAAAATGTTCTAAAGAGATATGGGCTTGTTCACACTAAAGGGTACAAAAGTGTGACTAAAGGCCGAAAATTAGATTAATTTAAATAATCAGAAGCTATATTATGTTTTTCATTTATCCAATTACTTCCTCTGTCCATTAGTAGTTGCTAGAAGAGAACTGTTTTATAAATTAGTCAGGTTTCCTATAGCGGCCTTGTTTTTGTAACGGATGTGATGCATTGACGGAATGAGCTACGCGGAAGTTTATTACATATTTTCAGATCCACATGTGATTAACAGATTTATATCTATTATAATATTTTTTTCTACACAAAATTACATATTTTTTTGTATTTAATTGACAAAAACCATGACGTTCGCTACACGCTTTTCAAGGGTTTCAATTTAAGTTTGTATAGATTTTTTTTTTTTTTTTATGATTCCTTTGAAAATCAAGTGATTTGCTTTCATTGTGTTAGCCAATATTAATCTTGTGGGATTTCATCTGTTGCTTTTCAGACTGATGACCTTATATTTTCCATGTATCTGGCGTCATAGTGTAATTATGAAATCAGAGGCTGATCTGGTGGTTTAAAATTTCGCCAAAAATGTATTTGTTAATCTTTCCTGTTGATTTTATCTATAATATCTCTTCGATATGTCTGTGTTTGAATTTTTTTTTTTTCTAATCTATGATAGTTAATTTTGTTTTTGAGTTATAACCTTTTAAAGTCCAGATACTTTAACTGGCACTTTACTGTGAACCAACAATGAATCTTTAAATAAGCCAGTTGTGAAGATTTATTCACACTGTGGTATTTCCATAGTTGCAGTGCAATGTTGCCTGCTTTACATTTTCATAGTGGTCAAATATAATAATTGGTGAGAGAAGTACAGGGAGGAAACAAAGTCAGTGTCATTATTCAGCAAGTACACTTCAAGGTCCATCAAAGCAAACTGCTCTGCCACATGTGCCAACATTTGCATGCTAATATCATCTTTGCTTTATCCATGTCATAGCAAATGTTTCTTTTTCTCCCGTGTTTACAGGAATGGTCGAGGCAGCCTCCTCTCTCCACTCACCACAATCAAATTTACTCTGGCTTGAGTACACGTTTAGTGGGGACCATTTGTTTGAGGCAAACACTTAGGGCTCTCATATGTCATTGACCGGTGTCCACAAATATAATCCTATCAAGTTCAATCTCCAAGGTTTCTACAGTAAATGAAAAATCTCCTTTTGATGTTAATGTTAACAGAAGCAAAATTGAGAGTTGATGAGTCCATTTCTTTTTCTATTTTAAAAACGTAGCGCAAGTTTTAGTTACAGAGGCAAACCGAGCCAATACAGGTCTATTGTGGTGGACGCAATGTGAGCACACCCTCTCCTCCTTGTTGATAAAGCCCGGTCTCCCAAGCCTTCAGCTGACATGTACCTACAGAGAAAGCCTTAGCAAAACAAGCCGGACCCTTGTAAATATGCAGTGCCCAACAGTGGCACACGCATTGTTGGCTTACATACTGCTCGTGGTGTTTTTCTTTTTACCTCCAAATTTGCTCAGAAAACTAATCATGGTCTGATAAAGCCCATGGTAAATATGGGAGAGATTGACACCCACATGTCAAAGTTTACATAGCCAGACCAAGTGTACATATAGGCCAGGGGAAGTGAAAGCTGTGTGCAGTTGGACTGGCCTGACCTTAGCCGTCTGCAGCACAGGAAAGACACTTTGTGGGAGAAAGATAATAAGAGCAGACAGTCTGTAAAGTAAAACTCTGAACAATGGCTACATGTATTATACTGTTCAATAGTTTCACAAAATAATTAGGAGATATAATATATCTGGCATACTGCTGTGTGTCCTTATTGCTCAGAATTAAATTAGATTATACAAAAAATATAAACAAAATAAAATATTTGCCGTTTTCTTGCAAGTATCTGTCAGTGCTCCAATGACTTGATAATCCAGAGCAAAGACAGTGCAGCTAACAGAAAAGGTTAACCCTTGACTGATGTGTCTGATGTTAATCTTTAGATCAATTAGGAAGAGGCACAGTGGGTCAAGCTACAGATATTGCAGTGGCTATTAGTTCCCCTATCTGCCATTATTACACAGTCACATGCTCAAACAGTGTGCAGGCTTGGTATGCGCAGCACAGATGCCTCGGGTAAACAGACAGGCCTACACGGCTTGCACAAAATATTGATCTGACAGCAGATGGAACCTCGATATCAGCCCAGTGTCTGTGTGCTGCTGTGACTGGAACATTTGTGGCAAATGTGTTTGGGGAAATATTTAAAAGCATTTATTGTTTGCATCTCCTAAAGCAAATAAATAACATCTTTCTTCATTTTCAGCTCAAACACATTAAAATAAGGTACCCCGGACTTGACGGTTGAAGCATAATAAAATCATTTAGTTGATTGTGAATGACTTGACACATTTTTACGTGTGTTTTGTAATTGTTCCGTAATATAGTTAATATATTAGTTGGTTATAGTTAATGCATATAACTAATTTATAGATTATTCAAAAAGCCTTTTGTAAAATAACATTTTGGCATCTTCACAGATGAACTTTTGCTCATTTTTTTCTCTCTCCAAAAAGCAAACAAAGCATGTATCACTTTTCAAGTTTCTTTGTTGTATTAAGTTTCCTGATAGGCATTTCAGTAAAAATAATTATTTTTCCCAGTACTTTACAACTTCATTCAAAGAATGACTTGCTTAATGCCCTTTCAGTGAATGAATGATGGTGAAACTTATTGTTGGGTTTGAGAGGAATGAGTATTCAGAAACCGTCTTTGAAAAATGTAGGACTCATATTTTGGCTCCAGCTGTGAGAATGTCAACTGCACTGACCCATGCATTAGTGCAGGCCGCTGCTTTATTTGGTAAAGCTGGCAATAAAATTGAAGCATCAGGTCACAATGCAGACATGGAAATGTTCTTAGTAGTTATGAATAGAAAATCTCCACATATGAAATTCAATTTCTCCAAAGGGTTAGATTGGGTCACATTTTTCTTGGGCTGATCACTGCAAATCACAATGATTTGAACTTGTCCAAATAGCACTGATGCTTAATCCAACATTCCTCTTCCTAAAAGCTGGGATCATCTCAGCAGGGGTACGGAGGCATATTCATGACTAATTATGTGCTATATATGTGCGGCCTGTTTCTGTGTGTTCACTGCTGCATCGTGAGAGCCTGGCCCAAGGGATCAATCACAGAGAGCTGCGCGGCCAAACAACATTGACAAGGCAGACCAAGTGTAAAGCTGGTGCATCTCCTTCCAGGCATGCAACCGTTCAATTAGTCTTGGTCAGCGGGAGGCCCGATTATTCCAAAATTAGTGATTATTTCCCTGAGTAAACATGGCGGGATTGGGGTGTGTCATCCCTCACTGGTGACTGGCTCTTGACAAAAGCAGAAAGGCAGAGGAACATCACAGTGCCTCCCTGGAAGAGGGACCCCATGGCCCGACACAGCCCTGCCTGATAAAGTGGTATTTCCCGCATACAAAAGGAGGCATTGGGCCTAATCTGCGGTGTCCCACACCCCCTTCTTTCTTCAGTACCATAGCACAAAGAGAGTAGACCTTGTCTTAATCCAAAGGTGGGCTATCTGAGTAATCTGATAATACGCGCTGATCAAAGTCTATTGAATGCTAATCAGAACAGCAGATCACTATTATGATCTCATTAGGGACACCCTACTGAAGAAACATGCCACAGCATTGTGAAGCCACATAGTGGCAGTGAAACGCTAGATAAGAACAATGGGCTCAGTGTAATTCTATAGTATAATCCCTGCCAAGACACTGCTGCAATATCATTCAATACAAATCAATAAAATTAAAACAAACAGATTAAATCAGGATTATTTACCAATATTTACCAATATTACCTGCATGCTGTGCCCAGATTGGGGACAGATCACTAGTCCCTTGGCAGCAAGAGGCCATTCTGTCTTAAAGGAAAATGAAGAGGCCAAAGGTCAGTGCTGGTAGTGTCTCACAACATGTCATATGCTCAACCTTTGATTCTTTCTAACTGCAGCTGTTGGTTCAAAGGAAACGCACATGTTCGTCTGGTGTACCTACGGTTACTTGTGGTCTGTATATTATAATTGGGTTACATTGTGATGCAGATTTGCCCAAAGTGCAGCAGCTAAATCGGATTCTCTTTGGGTTCTTCGACTTTGAGGCCAGTGGATCATCACGGCTTTGGCCTTTGTCTCAACAATGTCATTATCCAAGTTTCAGATAAAGGTCTCAAACGCAGGGCTTTTTCCACAGAGCTACTTTTTCAGGACAATGGCAGATTGAGCAACTACTACCACCACACAGCTGGTTGTCAATAAAAATGTATCAGCTATAGTCTTATATGGGGTATAATTAGTCACCTAAATATCTATTAGGTAATACAAAATCTCAATATCATTTCGGGGGGTGATGAGCTACTGGTGAGCTACTGGTAGCTAAGTTGGAGAAGCCTGCTTCAGATAGATGACCCACTTGGCCTCCGGAAGTTGCCGCTCTTCTGTAGGAGGCGCATCAGTTGTCTCTTGCTAACAAAGTCTCAAGCTCCAGAACCTGGGTGGCCACCTCTCTTTCACAAGACTACAATGAAGCTCCTACATTTACAAAACTAAATCTGCTATAACAAGGCCTATAGCAATGGGCTAATCCTATCAAAATGGACTCCTTTAAAACAGCACAAAAAGAAAATGCTGCCAGCTTCAGACAATGATTTGTTAAACATAAACTGGTGGGAAATTTTAGAATGCATGAAAATTCCATCTGTTGCGAGTGACATTTCTTCCACCTGGGTCTAAAAAAACAAATCTGTTTTCGGATTTGTGACTGTTTAGATACTCCTTGGCTACAAAAATAAAAGCCAGATGTGCAGGCGGGATTCTCGTGTGGCTACATGCAAGTGATCTGTGTGTGACGGCTGCCCTGTCGACAGCCACTGCTTTGGAAGATGACTTTCCCTTTCAGACAGTGTACAAAGAGAGGTTTAACCCTCCAGAACAAACACTTCTCACTGTGGGAGTCAACTTGGCAAAGCATCAGTGAGGTACATTATGTTTACAATATCTAAAACATTGAAAATATGCTTAAAACCATGTTGGGCATCAGAGGATGTCTAGACAACAAAGTAGATTAGGAGGATTAGGCATGGTACAAACCTGATGACTTGAAAAGTGTTACACGGGCAGATTAGAAGGCAAGCCCAGTGTTTCAGTTTAACCCCTAAGACGCTTGTGAGTATCTTAACTTTCTACGGTGGCCTGTAAGGCCCCACCCCCTCCACGATTAGTCCTGGTCCCACACACAGGCAGGGACAAAAAGACCCACCTCAGTGTGGCCCTATCAATGTCACTGCTTTGTGCTGCGTTCTTTCAGGGTACATGAAGTGTCTTAAGCCACAATAAGATCAATAGCACAGCCAACTGTGCAGAGGACAGCCTCAGCAGAGGCCGCAAGACACAGCAGAGCTGCCTGTCAGATCTCAATCTTTGATCTACTTGTGCCTCTAACTCCTCTTTTGGCATGTGTTTTGCTTACTAGGGCATTTGAGGAGCAATATCGATGTGCAATATCTTTGTTGAGTTAAATAATGCCCCAGTGGACCTTTCAAAGTTGTGTGTACTGCTGAGCCAGATCTTTCTGACAGTGACCTCAGTCAGCTTATAGGTACACTGGCTTGGACAGGTCAGTTGCATTGATTTTCCATTCTATCTTGGCACCAACCAATGTCAACGAACCAACGAACCACTGAGTTGTGTCCTTGACCAAAGTGGGACTTGTGCTGTTGCATCACCTCACATTTTTTCTCAGAAAAGGGTTTTACCAGTGCAAAGATCGACTTAACACAAGACTATGTTTCCTCCGCATCTCCATATCTTCTATTGTTATGCAGTAATCTTGTCAGCAAGAGATGAATATAGCATTGTAAATACACGGGACCACCGTGTTAGACCTTAGAGATTTCTCTTCTTTTTCCTCCAACAGAAAAAACCTCGGCCTAATTTGCCGTCATCAGCTCCTTTTGTTCAAACAGTGGCTGGTATTTGAGAATAATCCTCCTCCATAGAAGAAATAGCGTCTCAACAGGCAGTGGCAAGACTCTGTCAAATCTTTGGCAATGTCTCTGCAAATCTCAGAGAGCTGTGTGAGAGAAACTTGTTAATGAGAAAACCATCAAATTTCTTGAGATGAGTTTTAATTTTTAAGGGGGAAAAACGTATAACATGTTTAGGATAAAACCACACATATTGTCAGCTGTGTGTGTTCTATTCTGTTTCTGTCATTCAATATTGTATCTATAAAATCATGCAAAAGAAAATTACCTTAAAAGTGCTGTAAAAAGGGCTGCAAATACAGCCAAAGGCAGGTAAATATCAAGTTGCAAATGTGCATTGATTGTTTAGATGCTCTAGGTGACACCACGTCAGTCGAGACACTATTTACACTTCACATTTTAACCAAGGATTTTGAATATGATTAGCATTTTGCAGAGAGAATGACAATAACTGTGTGGTTCAACGGTTGAATATCTGTTATTGCTAAAGCTACTCTTTAGCTATAGATCGCAGTCTCAGTGACGGTAAAAAGACAAAACAGAGCTGTACTCAGGAGGTACAAAAAAACTGGTGCAACTAAAAATTAATTGATTTACTTCACAATGTTTGCTCTGTACTTTTGGCTGCAAAGGGAAGGGACATAAAAAAGCCAATTCACAGAACAGGAGCCAAGGTCTTCTTTATTATAGGCTAAGCACCCTGACAGCAGCAAGGACAAGACAGACAAAACAAAACACTAAACAGTCACATCTGCAGCCGCTTCAGAAGCAGCTCCGCACCCTGACCTTGGACAGCACAGAGGAGAAGCTTCAGGATTGATGCTGAGTCCTGGAGGGGGCACCCACCAAACTTCAGCTTAGTGCAGACTTATAGCCTCACAGCAGGGTGACATGGGCTCAGTGCTGCCAACATGGCAAAGCAGTAAAGGACTAGTGTCTTTGTCATAAAGACACTGGGAGAATACATATGCTAGAGAGAAGCGCCTACGACCAAGATGAAAGAAGCAACTAGATGAATATTTATCAATGTGGCAAAAGGATGCTAATAAATATACAGATTTATTTCACCTCTGCCCAAAGTTAGAAAAGGCAAATTCCTCCTCATCAAATCAAAGGGAGACGCAACAAAGCAACTGTGTACTTCAAGACTTAAATCTCAGAAGTTCCTAATCCTTCTGAAGTCCACACGGGACCTTTGGTCTCCATGGCAACAGCAGGGCATTCAACCAAGTGATTGCCTCCAATGAATTTCAGATAAGACAAAATGGAAGTGAATTGATGTGATTTTAATGCAGAAGTGAGCGGCAGAGGGGAGGTCCACTTGGTTCATATTTGAATAAAGCAAACACAGCAGACAAAAGGCTGACAGCCGTAAATGACATTGTCAGAACAAAAATTATCAGCCAGTTTACAATCTGTTTGCTCATGTAGAACAAACAGAATGTGTGTGGCATCCCCGGCTTTGTGAGCGCGAGGGCCAGCAGCCGGCGGCCACAGAAAGGCAGATATCAGCTCCCCCTGCAGCCCTGCAACAATTAGATAGCAATTTGACAGGCACACTCAAATGTGGGTTTGTGGTCCCCTTCCAAGGGCACACATCTCGTTTTATCAGGAAGGAAATACATAATTGAGGCGTCTGGAACAAAGACAAATTGCGTGACCTATGGCCAGAGGACTCGCAGGGTGGGATACAGGGACCAGCGACACACATTCCACACACAGAGCGGTCAGTTACCTAGCAAGTCTCCAGTCAAGGTCCCCTTTTCTGCCTTGGCCTTCTTTGGTGGTGGTGGACCAATGGGAGCTCCAGCCCTGCAAGGCCCCGGCCACTCTCTTTGTTAGGGTTTGTCACTTGTTTTGTTTTGAGCTTGTTAACTTCTCTATGGTTGCGCTGACAAGCAGCAGCTGTTGAGCTTGTGGTAGGCTGCAGGACATCGAAATCATACAACAGGGCGGGAAAGAGCATGCATTGAATAGTACCTGTAACTTTACATTACTAACCTTAAAGTCCCTTCTATAACACCACAAACAGGGGATAACAGGGAACATCTGACTGAGACGAATAAATGTCAAAAATGACAAGGAGTGTTATATAAAGAAAGTGTTGCGTCTTCATCACATTAGAGGCAGCAGTGAAGAGGAGCATTCATTGACATTCATGCTGAGCGTTGTCTTTCTGTGCTGGAGCCAGTTATACGGCTGTAGAGATGCCGTTTAGTCTCATTAAAAACTTGTTTGATTAGCAGGCCCTAGAATGGAAGCAGTGCTAAGGTCTGGCAGCAGCAGATAAAAGGGGAATGATAAACAGGCAAAGAGCCGAATCACAGTCAGCCACCAGAGCATCAAAACACAGGCAATTCACTGCAAAGTTGATCCAATTACTATCCGCCACTCACAGCTACATTGCTCTACTCTTTTCACTGCAGGTTAAATTGCTCTTCCCTTTTTGCCGATATGGCAATCGGTCATAAAGAGCCACCCATCATTAGCGCTGTTTGAATTGGAACCCTGTAGTGTTTGGTTAAGGGGATGAATGCAAATTTGATGAAAGAATAAGGCAGCATTTACATATCAGCCTCTGCTCACATGGGGAGAGTAAACATTCTGTTTATCTCAAGTGTCATTTTATGATTCAGTCCAATATAAAAGCAAGTTCAGGCAAAAGATCAATCCCACTCTCAAACCTTCAAATCTTGAAAAATGTCATTCATTCATTGAAATTCATTTCAAAGCAAAATTACATTAAACATGTTGATCATCAGTAGAAATACAAAAGAAAAAACACATGTACACTGTAAATATTAGTACAGGTAGGATTCTGATATGACCCACATATTGTTTAAAGGTGGATTGAATCATTGATAATAGTATATATGAATGATAATAAAGAAGTATAATAAGACTGTACGTTGTATTAAAAAATAAAAACATAATATAAATCTTTACATTTAATCGGGAGAACACAGCGTTGCTGTAACATTATTCTGTGTTATTGCCTCTATAATGAGAAAATAAGAAAGTGTGGTGATGTGTTTAATAATTGAACATGGTTTCGGAGCAAATAATATAGAGTGCCAAGTAATAAATTGCCTTGACACAGCCATGTGAAAGCATATTCTATGAGAACAGAGTGTGCAAGCTCCCAGGCAGACAGGGCTGGGGAAAAGAAGGCAAAACACTGCCATCTATGGCTTCAATCCTAGGACTGCTCAGGTCTGTGCACTCCGCTCAATGCCAAGACACGGTTCCAACAGGAAAACGCTACGGCTTTATACTCGTAAGTAAGATTAATAAAACATAATTGTAATCAGGCTGTAAACACATGCTTAACTATTCACACTGTAGTAAAGTAAGAAACTCTTTTGGAACAGTGTTCATACTAAAGTTTCTAGCTTCCCTCATGAAGCGGACACGTTTTTGGCTTGTGAAATCGACAGATTAGACTGAAAGCTAGATTTTCATCCAAATGGGCATCTGGTGGCCATATCCTTTAAGCAACACAATTCTGCACAAATCAGGGGTTCTGTCGGAGATTTTCTTACCACCTGCTGTGTATCTTCCCTCAAAATGATTGAGCCTGCCTTTATTGTTTCATCATAATTTTATCTTTACACTTTGTTTGCCAAAACGCAACACACAGGGCACATTTTGTATTGCAGAGATTGATAGACTGATGCCTCCATTGTCATATATTACATAGGTACAAACAGTATATGTACAAAATGGCATGAAGTTAAATTGCGGTTGGCAATAAAATCCGATAACGGTACAAAATTTTGACTGTGATTCAAGAGCGCATTAGGCACAATAATGATGTGCATATAGCTGCCAGACTGGGGAGCAGGTTGACGATGGAGCATAGAAGAAAGCCAGATGTCAGGGCTTCTATAGCTTAGGCCTTGACCAGGCCTTCGTCTGCGGTGGCCCTTTATGTAGCTCAGTGAGGGATGCTCCGGTCTCCTCTGGGAGCCTGGAGGATTTAGTGGTGATGAGACACGATCTGTCCCGTCTGTCACCTCGCTTCCACGCATTCATACGCCATCCATACAGTGGGTCCTCCAGGCCCATAATCCTCTCTCTGAGGTGCAGTACAGATAGAGGAGCAGACAGGAGCCAGGCGGCAAGTCTGTTAGAGCATGTTCAACACGTTCAGCATGACAGAGCATTTCACATCTTCTACATTAGCTGCAGAACTGTCAGACAGAGCTGCAAATGAGTGAGCTATTTCTAAAAGAGGAGACCTTATTTCATATCATGACGAGACAAGCACAGCACACAACAATATTGATGTAATATCTGACTTGAAAACAATGAGAGGGCATGACTACAGGCATATATGTAAAACCTCTATGTTATGGCATCCTTGCATCTAAACATGTTATCATTTATTCAGTGTCAATACAGCAAATGGTTAAGGCTATATCTATTCTACTGAACAGCTACGCAAGCGTTATGAATCACTTGCACTCTGTGACCACACACACAGAGTAAATTTACTCAGCACGTCATCTCTTGATGTTTACAAACAAATACAGAAAGAGTTTATGTAATGCATTCATTTAAACACGACCTAAGATACAAGCAAATAGATCATTCTTAGGCATTCTTTGCTTTGCAAACACGCCTATTATAGATTAAAGTTTGACAGTATGCCAGAGTTATCAAGGTAAACTGGAACTCTGACTGACAACTGAAAGTGGTTTCCCTTTGTTCCCTAGTGAGTGAGAGAGTGAGACTAGCTACATATAAAGAAGTCAAGCCAGTCCTACTATGGGCTCTTGTTTGAGCTGCCTCCTTCCTGGAAGCAACATCAATTTACTCAGGACAAGTTGACCACTCCCTTCAAGGATCAGCACAAAGAACTGACCTGGGACAGACATACAGGGTTCACCTCGGAGCCCATTCATCAAGTGTCATGGCAGTGTGTGCATGAGGTCACGAGTTGGCATGCAGTGTTGCAAATGATAGGTCACCCACAGGGCACCGGATCACTGCCACAATATCCTAATAATCTAACATTATAAACTAAGCGTCATGTGTGTTGCTTGGTTTTTTGTGTTGACAGTTTATACCAAATGTGTGATCAGGAGTGTTTGACTAAGTCAAATAGTGTTGTTTTTCCTGCATGATTAACTTGTTTAATGCAAAGAGCAATCAGTGAGTATTGCCACTCTGAGTGGGACAGACCACCTGTGCAGAGCAGGAGCAGAGGGGCAGACTTCAGGCTCAGTCACTGGACATACACACACTTTTCCTCCATCCTCTCCTCTGTCCCTCTTCCTAAACATGTATCGAAGTCAGGTTCATGTGCAGGTCATGTTGACAGACATACATCATGGCTATTTCTAAAATCATACACAGCAAAAGGGAAGGGCACCTTTGCATTTTTTCAAATCCAATACTTGCCCATTATCCAGAATCTTGTCAATGTTGAGACCTTATTTCTTGAATAAGTGAGTTTTTTTTATTAAGTTGTGCTAACACCAACAGGCAACACTGAAGTTCCCCCCACCTTCACTATTGTACAAAATGTAACGAAAGGTATGAAATAAAATATAAACTAAATAGAGCTGATGGTTGCTGACATCAATAAAGCACTACCTGCTCAAAAGGACAATGCCAGTTAGTGATAAAAGAGGCATTGTAAGAAAAGCCACATCTGAGCTGCCTGACTACAGCTGGCAATGGGACAGGGAGCTCCAGACACATTTATAACCATTCAACAACACATGGGAAATACAATGGAAATAGACTTTTTTAAATTTCTTCAGATTCATATCTGTTCTGCGACAAAAAACAGTACATTTATCAACATTTATCAATTGAACAGGTGCAACAAAAGTCATAAATTATATAGGTGAAAACATTTTTTATAGACAAGGCTTTCATTCATGAGACTAGTAGGGCGTGGAGCACAACGGGAAGCCACATCAATCGTTTGATAAATTATCCAGGTGATCCAAAGGGGAGCAGAATGCAGGAGTGAAACATGCCAAATTGCCCAGCAGCCATAGCTTGTCTAATTCCTTTCTACAGAGCAACAATAAGAAATAGCCCACCACTCCCTGGGTAACAAAGCACATATCTGCAGCAAGAGGGAACAAAAGGGGCAAAACATGTCTTCACTGTTTGGATGGGGACTGGAAAGAGTTCAGAGCACCTCAGTTAGCTGCTAATTTCCCACGAAGACTATCAAGGGTTGCAAGGATTAGTCCTAAAAGAGTAAACTTTTAGATTGATCTGACAGGATAATATTAACCCAGAAACTGTCTCATCAAAAGTTCACATGCGTCAAGCACAAGGCCAATAGGGAAAATGTCACCCCTTTTAGTTCCCATGTTAAGACTTTATTATTATCTTGCTGGCTTTGCTGGACCAAGGTTAATATGGGCTTCCATGGCACGTTATACATATTTGTAAGGCTAGCTAGTTCTATTTTATTGTAAAACATTGAACGCAAAACGTAATTAATAAGAGTTTAACCCCTGACCAGCCTTTAGATTCTTTTTTCTTTTTTATTCGGACCCTTTTCAAAATTAGTTTTGAAAAGAGAACCAGAATTGAACCTTTTTTGTCACAAATTTGGTGTGGTTTGAAAAATTCCTATATGGAATTGATCAGACAAAACTGTTTTTGTAATAATAGTTCAGTGCTGTCTTTGTGATGCTTGTGATTGTTGAATTGTCAGAGCTGCTTCAAAAGGGCATTGAGAGAAGCCTGTTGAGAGTGCCACCCGGCCACATTCCTCACATGCCAGTTACTGTGTCACTGACCCTGAAACGGAGCCCACTTTCCCAATTAGAGCCGTTAATGTGAGCCACTAAGTGCCCCAGTCACACTCGGCTGCAGAAGCAGGCCTACTGCTGTGGAGAGACCAGGTCATAACAACATGAAAATACCAGCACTGACTTTTCATCAAGTCTTAGCGAAGATGTCCGTCAGGTTTTCAGAGGAGTGGGTTTTGCTGCTTAATCCATTTGACTCTAAGGGGAATAACAACGAATTGCGTAGAACTCATTTGCAATTAGTTTTCACTAAAGAAGTCTAAATGACAGTTGTGGCAGTTGCTTCCGTTCTTGCTGCTGTAAACACCAGGATTTTAATGGATACTCTCAATAGTCATTCTTCCATGAACCATCTGGAAGAGCTTTCCGGTCTATTATAACTTTTTCTGTCATATGGAAATAGATATTGATTCCTTGAATGATATTTTCCTATACCTCACAATAGAGACCTTAATGACTATGATTTTAAATCCAGGGTCGAACAGAGGAGCATTTACATCTGCGGTCATCTTGTATTGTCCCTTAAAATTGTGACGTTAACGTATATGGCAGATGTTGTTGCTGATTTGACTGCTGATTTGGTTAGGTATTTAAATCTTAGGCTGAAACATCCGTTTATGGATATGCCAAAAACAATGTTGAAACGCCAGTATCACTGGATTTGATTGGCCGTTCATCTATGTGGGTTTCTATTGTTAGAACCTCAAGACTTAAATTTGATCAAATATGAAGTGTTCTTTCTTTATCATCACCTTTCAAGTATGTGGTGCTTTTGTAAAAAACAAGTGCCCCCAAAGTGCAATGAAGGTGTACTGTGGGGAGCTGATATCAGTAGCAATTGTTCCCGTTTCCCACGGTTTTTTAGAAATATCTTATTGACAAAGATGGAGGATACGAATATGTGGTCCACCTTGTGGAAACCGTAAAATGAACTATACTGTATATTGTATATTCAACATAGTCCATGTTTACCCTGCTTTATGTTGCAGGCAGCATATCCTAACGCTTGCTCTGCCTTCAAACTAGCTCTGTAGTTTGAGGGTTGGTAGCAGGGACAGTGGTTCTTTACAGTTTTATTCTAGTAATGAGTTTGCTGTGCTGTGTTCCTGGCATTAGCCACCAGTGTCGTATCAGTACACCTCATCACTTCAGATAAGCTGCACTGAGAGATTTAAAAGTTGGAGAGGCAATAAAATAAACAGTCATTAACTTTCACATTGAAGGGACATCAAAGAAACATATGCACATTAGTGATCTGTGCGTTGCCAGATATGTGTGATTTCCACTTTGTTGCTGAGACTTTTGCAGATCCATGAAGTGACAGTATCAGATGGAGGTGTTGAAAGCTGCTTAAAGCCCAAACAGAAAAGTCAGTCCTTCCCTGAGTGTAATGGGACAAGTGTCAAGAGAAGAATTAGTCATTCCAAACAACAGGATGTAAAGAATAGAGCCCAAATTGCCTTTTTGCTGTGCTATGTAATAAATATGATGAAGTTGCAGCAACATTTATACCACTCCTTACACCAAGTCAATTTGTGAAATTTCAGATAGAACCATCTATTAATGCTTGTCAGATATAGTGCTCATAAACATCTCGGGGACCGCAACATATCACCAACTCAATTTTGGCACACAAAAAAAACAAAAACAAAATAGAAGAATATAGCTCTAAGGGGAAAATATGAAGGAGCTCTGTCATTACCAGAGGTCTATCCCAATAGTAAGTCTTGTTAGGCTAACAAGATCAGTAAAGAAATTAGCAAAACAAGAATCCTCAAATCTGCAGTAGCATACTATGTGACCACTGCATAAAAGAAAATACTGCATAAAAGACTGAGTCTGCCCCACCGCCCTGGGGCAGACTAACAAAAATAAGGCTGCCAATTTGAGCCTCTGATGACCACTAATCGTTCACTCACACACTGGACTAATATGCGATGTGGGTGTTGTTAAGAAATTTTACCAGGTCTCACTGTGGCACCAGTTTTCCCAGAGGTCTCCCATCATAGTACTAACCAAACCCTGTCCTGCTTAGCTTCTGAGATCAGACCAAATTACACTGTATGTATCCTTTCACAGGTAGGTATGATTGGTCACATATACAGGTAAATTGCCTTGCAGAAATATGAATACAGCTTGAACTTGTGCAATTTCTTTACAACAATAAACGTTAAAGATGTTGAATGATCCCACACAAGTAACAGACCACTGTGAAGTGAAAGTAAAAAATATTTTAAAAACTACTTTTTTTTAATGCATTAAAATACCTGTAAGTAAGTTATCTTTATTTATCTAAAACCCTTCCTAATGATTGCTGAATGTTCACACCTTGTTCTAATGATTAAATAGAAGCCTCCTGGGTGTAATATACTCTCTGTATAAATACAGCTGTTCTGTGAGGGCCTCAGAGCTGTGGTCAGAGTGTATTGGTCACTAAAAAGCATCTTGGAGTCTATGGAGCACGAGATTGGCCCCAAGATGACTCTGAAGTAGGTCTGCTGAGCTGGGGGAATCTGTACATGAGACAACCATCATTCATACTCTACACAAATCTAGCCCTTAGAAAAAAAGAAAACCATTATTGAAAGGAGGCCATAAGGAATCCTGGTTGAAGTTTACCAGAGGTCATAGCTACCATGTGGAACGTGGAGTTATGTTTGTAACTCTAATGTTTGTAACTCTAATGCCAAAGAGAAATTGAGTGAGTAACTGCAAAAGTAAAAGTACCACAAAAGCTGAACGCAGTTACACAGGAGGATGGACATTAGTCTAAGGCTAATATTTTTGTTAAATGTTCATTCCTTGAGTGTTTTTAAAGTTGATTTTGGGCCTGTTGGGCACAACAACAGCAGTTCCAGCCGTATTCGCAATATTTGGCTAATACAGATCAGCTAGAAAAGCTCAGTGCCTGCATAAAGGACCTTAAAATGTGGATGACTCTTAACTTCCTACTTCTCAACCCGGAGAAGACAGAAGTGATCCTACTCGGTCCGAAGCGCCTGCGTGACTCCCTCACTAACCAGATGGTTACTCTCGATAATGTCAGTATAATACCCAGTAACACTGTGAGGAATCTTGGAGTCATTTTTGACCAAGAACTCTCCTTCAAGGCTTATATAAGCCAAGCAACTAAAACGGCGTACTTCCACTTACGGAACATCGCTAAAATTAGGAATTTCCTTCCTAAAAGTGACGCGGAAAAACTCATTCACGCGTTTGTCACCTCAAGGCTCGACTACTGTAACGCTTTACTGGCAGCGTGCCCTAAAGCCTCTTTGAAGAGCTTCCAGCTCGTTCAGAATACAGCAGCTAGGATCTTAACAGGTACCAAAAGGAGGGAGCACATAACTCCGGTGTTAAAATCACTCCACTGGCTCCCTGTGGAGTACAGAATAAAGTTTAAAATCCTACTCTTAACATATAAAGCCATAAATGGCTTGGCTCCTTCTTATCTCCAAGACACGTTAGTGTCGTATCAACCAAGTCGAGCGTTGCGCTCACAAAACGCCAGACGTCTGGTGGTCCCTAAGGTCTCAAAGGTCACTGTTGGTGGCAGAGCATTTAGCTACCAAGCTCCTTTACTGTGGAATCAGCTTCCCATTTATGTTAAGGAAGCAGATACGGTCTCCACATTCAAGGCCAGGCTTAAAGCACTTTACTTTAATTTAGCATATAATTAGGTAATATATAATATGTAGTGTATATATTATATATATATGCTGTATTATGTTATATATTATGTTATATATTATTCAATAATGTATTGTGTTATGTTGTATATTATGTTATATATTATGCTGTATGTTATTCTTTATTCAAGGCTAGGTTTAAAACAGTCCTCTTTAGTTTAGCATATGGCTAGGAAGGTAAGACTCGGAGAAGGTTAAACTCCTCAGAGTGTTAGTCAAGCTGCATAGGGAGTCAGTTTGCTGGGAGAAGTATGGTAACTTGAGCACTATCCTCTCCTCCTTCCTACTTTATCTGTTTAGCATTTTTAGGATTCTGACTGTAGTTTGTTCATTGCTATTCACCCGTTGTCCCATTGTCTGTTTCATGGTACGATGACGGGATCTCTGAGCCTGGCCTCTTCCATCTACACCTGCGGACTGCCCCGCCCGACCCGCCTGGGAGTGCTTCAGTCCTGCACCGGACCTGTCCACGTTCAGCGTCCACTGGTCCGCGTCCTGTAGCTAGCTTAGGTCCTGGATCATTAGTCTGTCCGTCCGGAGGAGCGGATCCCTTTCTCATATGGGTCTCCCTCCCTGTGGGTTTCCCTAGTTCTCCTCCAAGGTTTCTCACTTTTTCCCACTGGGTTTTTTAAGAGTTTTTCCTTGTCGATGCAGGAGGGTCTTGTTGGACAGTTAGTGTCCAACAGAAAGGATTGGTGATGATCAGGACACTTTAGCATTCTACAACATGTATGGACATTTTCTTCTGTGTGTGCTTTATACTGTATTCTTCATGTGTTTTAACTGTTGATTCTCTGACCTGTGTTGGTGATTTCAATGGTTTTGTTAAGTCCTCTGAGATGACTTCTGTTGTGACCTAGGGCTATACAAGAATAAATTGTATTGTATTGTATTGTACTCACGAGAAGCAGAGAGCAGTTCTTGTGGGAGGGGTCACAGGGGAAAGCTTCATGATTGTAGCCCATACATTTGAATGAGAAGAATAAGTCACAGGCTGTTCATAGATACTGTAGTATCTACCCTGCCTTGCGAAAGTATTCGGCCATATTCGGTGCGACATTTCGCACATTTCAGGCTTCAAACATAAAGATATAACATTTAAATTTTTTGTCATGAATCAACAACAAGTGGGACACAATTGTGAAGTGGAACGAAATGTATTGGATAATTTAAACTTTTTTAACAAATAAAAAACTGAAAAGTGGGGCGTGCAATATTATTCGGCCCCTTTACTTTCAGTGCAGCAAACTCAGTCCAGAAGTTCAGTGAGGATCTTTGAATGATCCAATGTTGTCCTAAATGACTGATGATGATAAATACAATGCACCTGTGTGTAATCAAGTCTCCGTATAAATGCACATGCTCTTTGATTGTCTCAGGGTTCTGTTTAAAGCGCAGAGAGAACCATGAAGACAAAGGAACACACCAGGCAGGTCCGAGATACTGTTGTGGAGAAGTTTAAAGCCGGATTTGGATACAAAAAGATTTCCCAAGCTTTAAACATCTCAAGGAGCACTGTGTAAGCAATTATATTGAAATGGAAGGAGTATCAGACCACTGCAAATCTACCAAGACCCGGCCGTCCCTCCAAACTTTCATCTCAAACAAGGAGAAGACTGATCAGAGATGCAGCCAAGAGGCCCATGATCACTCTGGATGAACTGCAGGTAACTACAGCTGAGGTGGGAGAGTCTGTCCATAGGACAACAATCAGTCGTGGACTGCACAAATCTGGCCTTTATGGAAGAGTGGCAAGAAGAAAGCCATTTCTCAAAGATATCCATAAAAAGTCTTGTTTAAAGTTTGCCACAAGCCACCTGGGAGACACACCAAACATGTGGAAGAAGGTGCTCTGGTCAGATGAAACCAAAATCGAACTTTTTGGCCACAATGCAAAACTATATGTTTGGCGTAAAAGCAACACAGCTCATCACCCTGAACACACCATCCCCACTGTCAAACATGGTGGTGGCAGCATCATGGTTTGGGCCTGCTTTTCTTCAGCAGGGACAGGGAAGATGGCTAAAATTGATGGGAAGATGGATGGAGCCAAATACAGGACCATTCTGGAAGAAAACCTGACGGAGATTTATCTTCCAACAGGACAATGATCCAAAACATAAAGCCAAATCTACAATGGAATGGTTCACAAATAGACGTATCCAGGTGTTAGAATGGCCAAGTCAAAGTAAAGACCTGAATCCAATCGAGAAGCTGTGGAAAGAGCTGAAGCTGCTGTTCACAAACGCTCTCCATCCAACTTCGCTGAGCTTGAGCTGTTTTGCAAGGAAGAATGGGCAAGAATTCCAGTCTCTCGATGTGCAAAACTGATAGAGACATACCCCAAGCGACTTGCAGCTGTAATTGCAGCAAAAGGTGGGGCTACAAAGTATTAGCGCAAGGGGGCCGAATAATATTGCACGCCCCACTTTTCAGTTTATTTGTTAAAAAAGTTTAAATTATCCAATAAATTTCATTCCACTTCACAATTGTGTCCCACTTGTTGATTCTTGAATTTTTTTTACATTTTTATATCTTTATGTTTGAAGCCTGCAATATATATGTATATATAGACTGTCATACACACATACAGTCTTTGGCACAGACACACACACACAACCGTGGACACATGCACACATGCACACGGGCTAAACAGCACTTTTACCAAATCCACTCATAACAGAAAACCTTACATGCTACACACAAAAGCGCTTGTGAGAGTGAATTTGAAAAGATTTTTGTGTGGTTCTTTTGAAACACAAGACATAATCTTGTTAAATGTTCAGTCAAAACATGTTAACAAGGTCTCACTTATCTTCCAAATAAAATTTTTAGTTTTTGTTATGTCTGCTACAATCAAGTAACAAGCTCCATTTACACTGAAGGTGAAGCTAACAGAGTTACTGCAGAGTAAATTGTTTAGGTATTGACCAAAATAACCCTGTTAGATGTTTGTAATACCGTTAATATTAAACAACGTTACATCCAAAACTAGGTGTAGACTATAAGTAAGTAAGTAATTTTTATTTATATACCGCCTTTCACAGACCAGAGTCACAAAGCGGTGATATAGGCGTTTCCATACTGCAGCCACAGGATCAGATGGGTGTAAAAGGTCAGAATTTTTTTGGTCTTATCTCATGGAAAGAGCGTTAAGCTTCTGCAGGCCTAGGACATTGCTCCTTCAGTTGCCTCAAGCTGTGGGCCATTTTTTTCAGTCCCAGATCAGTGCCGGTAAAGGGTATCTCTCGAATCTCCTTGTCCCCCCTGGTGTGCCATGAAGATACAGTTGTATTTTATTTATCTTATTTGTTATATTGAAAGTGCATATTGACTAAACTACAATACACCAGCGATAGTAACCAGGTTCTTCTCACCTGTACTTGTGTTTCTAGGTCCAGATTATATAAATATACAAAATTCAGTTTTTGGGCATGTTCACACTGACATGAGTAGGGTCAATAGGTTGTGTTCATGTGATGTCACAACATTCTAATGAGCCTGTACTTCTCTTCTTAGTTTATGGCTATTGTCACTCATTCCTCGGTCACAAAATTCAACACCTTCTTTGTCATTACACATAAACTATGGTCTCATTATTTTCTCATAAAGGTGTCAAGGTGTTATAGGTGTTATGACAATATTGAAAAAACAGTTGCATGATGTTGGCCAGTGGAAAGGCATTTCAGACATAAGAATAATGTTGCGGGTTTGTGAAGCTAAATCACTATTGAAAAACAATCTCTGGAGACATTTGGATCCGTCTCTGTCTTGTCAGTCTATGTCTGGTCCATCTATGTCTGGTCTGTTGGATTTTCTTGTTTGTCGAACCTTTTTTGTTTTGCCTTTTTTTATGGATTGATGCCTGTATGATTTTTTTTGGTCGCAGAGGACATTTTTATGGTTGTAGTCGGGGCATCCCTTTTTGTTTGGAATTGTCGTCATCTGTCATGAGTTTGTCAGGCCTTGAAATAATGTAAATAAACACATGTTAAAAAAATAAATTAGAAGACATCTTTAACTGTTTTAACAGTTCCCATAGAGTTGGATTGGCACCTGCCCTGCAACGGAAATAGAATTCTAGAAAATGAACACAACCTATTGCTGAGCCGTTTCGAGGCACCAGCCCATGTTGCATAGTGTGAAAGTATCAGGAGCCCCAGGAGTTATGGAGGAAACTCTCTGGTTTTCCATCAGTGTGAAAAGCCCTTAAATGTAAGTTCTTCTACTATAGGGAAAAGACAGGTGCAGTGCTCTTGTGTGTTTACATGGTGGGATGTCTCTTGTAGTGTTTAAAGCCACTTACCTCCCTCTCTCTCTGTGTCATAAAGAGCTGTTTGTTCAGAGATCCTACGACTGTCTTTTAGGCCGAGTATGAAGGCTGCAAAAAGTATAGAGAAAACTGAGGTTAGCTCTTGATCTGTTGATCTCAGAGGCTTGCGGGGAAATCATAAAAGAAAACAATGAGAGAGAGAAAGAGATTGTTAGTGCCACTTTGTCCTTAATGTAAAAACGTACATGGCAGACATTCATTGTTTTAATACCTCTTTGGTGAAAAGACAAACAATGAAGCCATAGTTTGTGGAGTTGAGAATATGTTGAAATGTCATTACTATAGGAAGATTTTATGTTAAAATAGATGTATTGATCTGCAGTGCTTTTATAATTATCTAATTAAAGAGTACCAAACATAAATGAAAATATCTAATTTGATTTTGAAATGTTGAATAGAAATCTCTTAAATTTGGCCAATTGTACAAAATCCCTGTTTTATTTCCAATATCAAAAAGTTACTAATAACAATGTAATATGTTTAAGCAACATATTATTTAATATATAGTTAAAAAAACAATTATGTTAATTGTGTTTTGTGAAAAATCCAGTCAAACGTTTTAAATGTTCGGCATATGAGTTTTAGAATATCATGCATGGCCATCACAAAGCCAGCAAGTGATTTTATTAAATAGCGTTATTATTTTCATTTTTTAAGGCTATAGTGACCCCTGGTGGACAGGTTAAATTGTGGCATATAGGAGTTTTCGACCTTTATCACCACACACATATGCGCGCACACACACACACACACACACACACACGCACACACACACACACACACACACACACACACACACACACACACACACACCTTATTGTTGCTCGTATCTATCCAGTTCTACAAAACCCGTCCAGCGCCTTATCTCGCCTCCGACAGGTGTGCTTACCTGCGGAGAAGACTGAATTGAACATTTGTACAAGGCCATAAAACCATAACCGGCTCATCTTGTGTGGAACAGTGACGTCGCACGCACACACCACCTGCTTGATCACCAGCTGTCCTGCCTTTTACGGACTGGCTGTGATTAACCAGAAAAGGTCAGCCTCAAATTAAAGTTTTTTATTTAAACCAATTAAACATGTTGTTGACCAGGGCTTAGATTTGATAAATGCTGCTCTTCTGTTCAGAGAGATGGTTAAAGTGCAAGAGACTTCTCAATTCAAGTGCCACACATGCTGAATCTCTCTTGCCATCTAGCGTTTGAAGGCTTGCATTGCATCTGCAGGACCACACATCAGGATACAGGTTTGCAGAGAGGCACAGCAAGGACACATCTTTTAATGCGAAATAATATTACATTTGGTCAAGTTACACATTGAAGATTTCATATGAGAAAATCCGCAAAACATATTCCTCTTATCAAATTAGTATAGGGACACATAACAGGTCCTGAAGACCTTCTAACTTTGTGGTGGCATCAGCCTCTTGTATGAGTGGTCAGCTGGAGCAGCAGCATCATAGAGAGGGACAGGACCAAGGAGCATGTCTGTCGCGCCCTGTAGGATACTGTCTGCTCTGGAAAGTAACTTCAGTAATTCACTGTCAGACTGTGCAATGACTACTGCCATTCATAGTAAAGTAAGAATGCACACAGCATCAAAATGTGTTTACTGGCACATTCTCTTATCTGCTAATCGGTCCATTTTCTTATGCTTATGAATAATATAGCTAAAGATATTTAAACATAAATATCTATATATTAGATCTTCAAGGTATTCTCGAAATATCCATAGCTTACACTTCTTACTTTTCTATTGTTCTGTAGTGTGCACTGGAACACTGAAAAAGGGCTGCACTTTTGCTGTAACAGTAGAGTCCAGTTTTATAAATAAGTGGGAAGAATTTTACTCTATGAGACTGTCTCGCCTTAATAAAGTGAATTAGTCCATTTTAATATACAAACATAAAAACACTTGATAAGCAAAATTGTCAGTGTGCTGATATTCTTCATACCAAAAGAAAAAACTATTTAAAATGGGGTACAGTAGACCTAACACTACAAAGACAAATAAAGTATATATAATGCAACTGCACCACCGCATGTACCAAACTGCACTCAGACCTGAATTAGTCAGCAGTTAAATGGTCCATCGCCTCCATGCGTTCCTTTTCCTGCAGCCATGTTCTGCTAATGGTTTTGGATCTAAGTTAAGCCGTACTGCAAATGGACCCTAATCCAGTGGGCCTGGGTTTGGTTACCTGAGGGAAATACTATCCCAGCCCGGGCGCCCACACTATCGCACGTTTCCAGATTAGCGCCGTATATATTAATCCTTCAATTTATCTTTGTCAACTTTAAGACACAAATAATTTCAGAGTGAGTAAATAAAAGTGTGTGTGTGTGTATGTGTCGAGGAGGCGGAAGGCAGGTGTGTCCCGTCGCTTACACCACTCAGGATTGACTCTATAATATTCACTTTAATCACCTGCTTTGAACATGTAAGACATAATTAAACAGCTATAGGCTTATCAATATGGAACACACAATGTATGGCCTGATTCTACCGGCTTTTCTTTGTTTTACCTACAATATCGACACGAACATAAGGAACAGGAGGGAACATACAATCATAGAACCTTGCTCCATTGTTTTGTGAGTGAGACCTTTCTACAAATAATAATAATAATAATAATTTACGCATACTTGAAATAGCACTTTGCAGAGGAACTTTCATAAAATTGAACACAAAAAATGATACCGATAATAACAAATTAATAATAATAATATCATGAATTAGCTAAGAGTTCTGGGCATGGAAGAGGTAAAAGGTGAGTTTTTAGCTGTATTTAGTGAGTCCGACTTATCTAAGGGTGGGACCAAAGAGGGAAACTGTTCTACCTTTTACTTACTCAAAAATATGACTTAGTTTTTTTGTTCAATGCTACAAGATAAGATAAACGTTCTTGATCCCACAATGGAGAAATTACAAAAGTCTATGTATAGTATTTACTCCTTATTTATAGCTAGCCTAACATTGAAACCACAATAAATGGCACTATGTATTAAACTCCATCTGATTTGATACTTGCTCTCAAAACAGTTTGGTACCATCTCTAGTTTTAACATGAATGGCTTCTGTGACTTCTGTCCTCACTCAGCCAATCAGCTCTCAGCCCAAAAGGTTCAAAACAAGTGACTCACATGGCTCTTTTATACAAGTTTGCAAAATATATCAATTGCTTTTTGATGAAGACAGCATGTTGTGGGCTGATTTGTTCATTTTACCCTTTGTAAATGCGAAAAGTTCATTAGACAAGCTTATTTGTATAACACAATTCATACACAAGGCAACTCAAAGTGTCTTCCATATGTTCAAGGCTAAAAAGGTAGTTATGTAGGTAAGTATGGTTACTGGATGTTTCATTAATCCATGTTGTTTGGCCCAACAGACAGGGTATAATGGCAATCATAATGGCAATCAGGAAGCCAAGAATCAAGTGTTTTGTGCAAAGTTTTACAGCCCGTCATTTGCATCTGTGTCTATTATATTATGAATGTGTCTAGGAAAACATATGGTACGTAACTTATGGTTTAACTTATAGTGCGTATGGTTTTAGTTTGTTTTAAGATGCACCACTTTAGTAACACACTATCAAAGTCTATAACAAATATATTGCAAAATGATGTTCTAGCAAAGGTCAGTAAGAAGTCAAAACAAAAGTTACGTTATAATATAATCTGTTTTGTTTAGATCTATTTATTTTTAAGATATTTGAACAAATCATGATTGTGTGATAACAAGGCCATTATAATAAAAATCTCTACTGTGAGCAAGACAATTTTGTATCTGGGTTAAACCGTTATCATCCTAAAGAGACTAAAGAGGTGGAGAGAGAGCCACTCCAGGGACCACATCACCCCCGTCCTCAAACAACTTCACTGGCTCCCTGTTCCATACTCCTCCTTCTCATCAACAAGTCCCTCCATGACCTGGCTCCTTCTTACCTCACTGACCTCCTCCATCTTCACTGTCCCACCCACAGCCTCAGATCCACAGACTCACACACAAAACCTTGGGGGTACGAGCCTTTGTCGCAGCCTCCCACACTCTCTGGAACTCACTTGCACAACCCATCAGAAACTCTGACTCAGTACAGAACTTTAAATCTCAAAATTCTCAAACCCACCTGTTTCACCTTGTCTTTCCTTAATTTTGCACTTCTATGTTTATTTTATATTTTTTGAAAAGCATCTTTGAGTGTCCAAAAAAGCGCTTTAAGTTTAATGTATTCTTATTATTCTTCTTGTTATTATTATTTTTATTAGAGAGGTGACTAACCCTTCTCAGCTGGGATTTCCATTTCCTGTAAGATTTTCCAGGACCTCAGCTGGTGGACAGGACCTAACATGAAGGAGAGCAAAACATAGATGCTGTGAACCAGAGGACAATAGGACCAGTCTGAGGCCTGAGCTACCAGTTTGTGAGAGCAGTGGAAAAGTCATCAGAAGAACTCTCCTGAACATGTGTGGCCAGATAGACCAACACAAATGCCTTTACATGATGTGTGTATGAGTCAGTGCTGCTTGGGAAAGTGAAAGTGTTGAAAGAAGAATAATGGATGATGTAAGGTAAGTGAATGGTGGTGAGAAAAGAGCGAGGAGAGCAAAGGGACATACCTCTGACAGCTGGTCTAAACATGGGCAGCCAAATTCAGGGGAAAGCGAGCCTTATTAGCCTTCTTTATATGTAGACATTAGGGCTGTAACAAGTTCATTGATTAATTGTAGCTAATTCGTTATAGAAATAGTTGTCAACTAACTCTAGTAATTGGTTAATCTTGATTTAAACAACAGAGATTTAAGCATACTGTGTGAAAGTTGAATGACTCCAACAAAGCTCCTGTTTGTATACCTGCGTAAAAACTGGACACACTCTCAACTCGCATCCAGGTCTCTCCCTGATAACATGTATACAAACCTTTTATTAGTTATAATATATGAAACGTTCTGGAGTTGCATAATTCTAGCATTCAGCATTCAGTTTTTGTTGATTCCATTCAATCTAAACATCCAGTATTACTATTCACCCAATTTAATTACTACTACTATTATTATTATTATTAATATAATCAGAATAATGGTTAGTTGTTTTAATTACAGTCCAAGTAGACATTAATCAAAAACATCCAATATAACTTTTGTTTAATTATAGTTCAATTACATATGTCTAAATTAAGTTTCTTGCCTGATCAACATGAGTAGAAAGTTTGAGAAACATTGTCGCAATGCAAGCAACAATATGAAAGAAAGTAAAATACAAAATGAACCAGACATCTGTCAAGCTCAGGTCACAGCACCATATGACAGAAGGAGTGCATTCTGCTTACCCTCCATTTGGAGCGACACGTTATTACCACGCCTTTAATTTATGCATTTGGATCATCTATTACGACCATGCCCCGGTGCCAGGGCGTCCAGAGCAGCTTGGATATGACGGTAATAAATGTAGCACTTAGGAATTCGGCTCACTTCCCCTAAGATTTGGTTTTGTTATCAGAGCAAAACTAACAGAAGAACTGGCTTCAATCAGCTCATTTGACACAACTTCTGCCCACTATGCGCAGCAAGATGTGGAGCAAAGCAGTTAGCGCGGATGTAAAGTATAGATGTAAACCATAGACAGTAAAAATAAAGTAGCTCCATATGGCGCACAGGCTGCAGTCTCACGGGGCGCCACCAGAGGGCGCTGCTGCAGCACAGGGGAAGTGCAGAGCAGCAGCGTGCAGCTAAATGAACTATTGACAAAAAGTTACTTTTTAAGCCTTACATTTTCATACAGGTGATGTACCTTACTACTCAATTTGTCGATTCAATCTGCACAAATAACGTAACGTGTATTTTCCATTTCAGAAACAGCGAGACCCGTGTAGCACTGACCTCCTCTCGGCCCCATGCTCGGCCCTTATAAACCTGTGGCCTCCGCCTGATCTTTGCGGTTCACGTCACTGGCTGCTGGTCTCCAGGTCAAAGCTACAGTCTCTGGAGAGGTAGGTTCTCACTCCTTTAACTTTGAAATAACAACAGTGGCAGGGTCAGGCCAAAGGCGATTACTGACGTTTCCTCAAGATGGCTCCCGCCAAGAACACCTGCAGGGTGAGAGGGGAGGGGAGGGGAGGGGAGGGGAGGGCTCGGATCACTGGGAAGAATAAACGCGTATTATTTCCATCATGGATCTATAAAGATTATTCCACATACTTACTTATTAAGGCGTGGTATTATAGTTGGAATATGCTAACAGTCCATCATCATTTATGAGTTATTCATAGGACCTACGTGTATTATCGCATTCAATCAGTGGATATTTCTATTTTTTACAGTTTTTTGTATCTGTATGAAAATTAAGCTTGAAAAAAAAAAGACTTGTCATTGGACTAAATTTGTGTGCAGGATCAATCAAAAGAGGGACAAAGATAACCCTGTAGGGGTCAAAGCTTTTCACTGTGAATGCCTGTAGTGCCTACTTTCTTTTCCTTCAAAATGTAAATCTAAATGTATTTGAGAGGAATGGGGCTGTAATTAACGATTATTTTGCTAATCTATTATTCTGTTAACTATTCTTTTCGATTTAATTTTAAAAAGTCAAGGATTATGGGATTTTGTTTACTCATTTGACCAAAACAAAGATCAAGTGATGTCCTTGGAGATAATCTTCATAGAGATGAAGTTACACATTGGATTGTTTGATCAAAAAACTAATTTTAATTTCATTCTGCAGTCATTATAGAATAATCTGAGGCATAAAAATGTTTTAAGTTTAAGTCTGTGTTAGGTTAAATAAACAATTATTTGAATACTAATCCTCACTATAGGGCTGTAACAAATTAATCAAATAATCACAACTAATCAAATATTTGAAGAAAGAAAAGAAATTATGTAGAGCTGACTCTATGAAATGACGAGCATCGTTTAGTGGCAGTATTCTGTCTGTCTCGCACATGTAGATAAATATGTTCACTTGGCTTTCTTATTTTTGGAGTGCACTGAAGTCTTTAACCAAAGCTTTGTACAGCCTGGCCTCCCATCCAAAAATCTTCTATAACAGTGAAACCTCAAGGGCCCACAAAGACCTAAAAGAAACACAAGGAAAAAAGTACAGTTGGCAGCCAAGGACACCAGCGACTGAGCTCATCCCACCAGGCAGCCGTAAATCACAACCGAAGCACAAGACAGCAGAGTTGTGCTATCATCTTAGACCAATAAAGAGGCCATTTGTACGCACAACCTTCTCACATGAAGCTGTCACTAACTGTCATGTAACAAGACATTTCTCTGTGTGGGCCGCAGGCAGAGGACAGAGGCAAAAGTGGGACCTTTCATTCACTATTAATGATGAGGGCTTGAGCCAAGGATTTGCCTGTGGAGAGTTATAGCCTGCTCCCACTACAAAGGCACATGATAGATTAGGTCCAAGAAAATTTGGGAAGTACTTCTGAGTCCTGATGACGGGTAATCAGCCCCGGGTTTATTCAAAATTAAAATCGTCCTGTTACTGGAAGAAAACAGCAATTTACTGGGACCTCCTACAAGAGTTGCTTTCTTTCCATGCTCCTGGGACCACTTTTGCTTGATGCTCAAACTTAGAAAATAAACAAACTTGGAGGATGTGATGTAGTTACTGTACTTTGCTGGACCTTTTAGTTATTTTGCTACACTTTGGAGAAAATTGCTAAGCGGTTTACCGTTCCTTTAAAATAAGAATTATATATTGGTGAGGCAAAAAGTGACATGGCATCAGTAGGCACCTCATTCTCCGTGGGCCTCTGCGTGCCATGGCTTCTGGAGGGGCCAGAGCGGTCTGTCCTGCCCTGGAAGACTTTGCCCTGTGCCAAGTTCAACACAGACCAAAGTCATCCCCTACTATTAGACCAGCTTCCTGACCGTTCCTGGGATAAGGAGGGCACCAGGGCAGCATCAGAGTTGAGACAGGGGGTCGATGTGGTCCGAGTTCAAGATGACATGCTCGGCTCAGTCTGCCGTGGATGGAAAGGGGAAGAATCTGTATTTATTTCATCGCTGGGTGGATGTGGGTGGTCCTCCCTCACTGGAACACAATGGCTGCACCAGACACGGCGCACTCACATACTGTCCTGCCTCATTGGAAAAGCCATAAAACATGAGTCGTCCAGGGATCTCAGGCTGTGCATGATATATTCTGGGCTTTGGGTTTCCTCACAGATTACCTTACATTTGCTTTTTCTGCCAGAGCACTGAATGAAAACGGGTTAATTTCAGGAGTTTTGTGCAAACAGGTTTCACTGTCCTGTTTCAATGCTTCTGACTAATGATCTCATTGTGGGAATTAGTGTGGTCATTGTTGTGATACAAAAATGATTATCCATTTTGAAACTCTTGAAAATACAAGGACAGTAACAAGGTCACCAATTCGTTGTAACTAATTGATAATTGATTTTTTTCTACCTTACACTGTCTTAGACACGCTGAAGAGAAGTTTTATCACTCAGATTATTCCTGCAGAATCAAATTAAAAGGGCATCACTTGAGTTTGTTTGGGTCAAATGACAAAAAATGTAATTTTAATCAAAAGAGTAATCAACCATTTAAATGATTGTCAACACAATCCCTAAGAAGACTCAATACTCTAGACCCATTTTCATATCATTTTGATCTATTTTTGTGTTGTTACTATTAATCGTCATAGCACTTTTATTTAAATGTTGTTTTTACAGTTCAATATCATTAGAAATTTTGTCTGGTTATATGTGATTTCTTCCGTATTAATGCTTTGTCAATGAGTGTCTTGCTTTTATACTAGTTTTATCATCAATATCATCTGATTTTTGATGCTTTTGACATCCCTATGCTGATCACATTTAGTGTATAGTTCATGTGAATACTTTCGGGTGATCTGGATGTAATAAGCTTTTTGCACATTCCGCCTCCAGGCTCTGAAAGCCGATCCACGCTCCAATTTATCTGAATTGATATCGGACATAACAGAAACTGCAGTTGGGTTCATATTACATCACTTCCATTTTTCATTAGCACTGTTTATAGAAACTACACTCTAAAACAAGTATTTGACAATGCATGGACAAATATTACCCTGAAATAGAATAATGTTTAAAGGAAATTGATTTGGCACACACATGAATAATTATCCTATAGAACACCTCCTAAGATTTGTATCTGTAACTGTATCTGTGTTCACACAGTGTAATGGAGATGTAACTGGACAAGATTTCAAAACATATGGATTCCATTTGTGTGCAGTGCTGTGAACGTATAGGTCGGTTTTACCCTTTTGCTATCTCTCTATCCATCTGTTTTCACATTACTTGCAAATTATAGTGTCCTCCAGACCCAAATGAACATAAATCAGGCCAGTGAAAGTGCAGGAGTTTTCCCATCTGTCATAAAACAATGATTTAAAGTATGGGTTGTCAAAATACGCCGCTGTGAATTCGCCCCGCTCCCCAGCAGTAGGAACACAAAGCACCATCTCATCGGAGTAATTTATGGCCTCTGAGGGAACACTGGGTGATTAGGGCCTGGGCCACCAACAGCCAGAAAAACAGTAGGAGCTCCAATAAGAATGACTGGAAAACCTCGACAAAATTTATCAAACAGTTCAGCAAAAATCTATTTCTGTTTGGAGAGCAGAGCAGAATATATGGCCTGTTTAGTATACTGGTACATCTCTGGAACATTTGGTCACACTGCCTTTGTGAGTCTTGGAGATTCTACATTAAATAGTTTCAACCAGACATTTGATGTATTGGTCATTGGAGATGCCTCAAGCCAAATGAAATATACAACGCGCCGTTGCTGGATTTTTAACCAACATGTGTGTGAGTGTATATTATGAAAGAGCATCCCAACAAGGTGGAATTTTCAGTCATTCCATTTCCGACGGTTGCGATTTTGTTCCATAAAATTGGCAAATCTGTAATTATTGCACAGTGTGGGTCCCCTTGGTCGAATGAGTTATGCTATCAACAAGTGGCTACTGTTGCTAGGGGTTAAAAGGCTCCTAATTAATGCCTCTGCTTATTGACACAGGCTCTAAGTACATGCTTGTTTCCAGTGACCCAAGAGCGCGGCAGTAAAATGATCATAGGTGGCCCATGTAGCTACAAGGTGGTCATATATCAATAACTTATTTTTCTTTCCGAGGACACAGTCGCACACAGTCCTGACAAATGCTCACTTTAAAACAATAGTAAAATACTGGTCTGGCTGTATTTATACGTCTTCAGTAATGTCGTCAGATGTGTATTTTTCTTTGTTATATCAATTTATCTTCACCTGCTCCTCTCTGCACATGGGAGACAGCTTGAACGACGAGGATAGGTATTGTTTTTGCATCTATTTTTACAACTGCCCGGCTGCGTCCCAGGGCACTCATAAGCGTGTGTGGAGGGAGCCTCGCGTCCGGCCCCCACACCGCGTACAAAGTTCAGGCTCTCCTCTCTGGGATGCAGGTGTTGTGCTTAGTTCAGGCTCAGAAAGTGAAAGGGTGTGGGACGCGGACGCTCCCTGTGGGCACCGGGTAATGAATGAAATACTTGTCTCTGTATCAGTGGTGTGTTTAGGAGTATAGGAGTTTCAATATCGCACACATTGGCAGCCATCTTAAAGGGAGTTTTAAAATCAGAAAGAATAGATTTGTGATTACTGGGATTACTGAGAGATTGAATGGATGGCAGTAACTTTAATCAAACAAATGATATCTGCAACAACAACAAAAACAGAAATGTAGGCGAGGCAAGTTTTTTCACACACAAGGCAACTCAAAGTGCTTTGCAAAATAATAAAGAACACGTAAAAAATATGCAAGATATCTTGTATATACAAATTGTATACAGACAAAACCTAAATAATCACAGTACATTCAAAAAGAGTGTATACAATCTTTCTGTTGTATGCGCAGCT